TTTTAGGGGTTTTTAAGGATTTTAGGGTTTTTAGGGCTTTTGGGGTTTAGGGGTTTAGGGCTCGGGGTTTAGGGGTTAGGAGTTAGGGGTTTAGGGCTTAGGGCTTAGGGTTTTGGGGTGCTGCCTTTATGAAGGGGTTTTGCCGGGCTTTTCGGGTTGCTCTTGGTTCTTCATGAAGGGGTTTGTAGGGTTCTGAGGGTGGTCCTTGCGTAAGTTGTGAAGGGGGTTTGTAGACTTTTTCAGGGTTGTTCTTGGTTCTTCACAAGCGGTTTGTTTGTAGGCCCAGGCTTTTTCGAATGCTGTTTGGGGCTCTTTGGGGGACTTGTGGTTTTTTTGAGGATAGAGGGGTAGGGTTTGGTATTACAGTTTCTTTTTGATGGTTCTGCAGGGGTTCGATATGGTTGAGGGCCCTAAACCCTAAACCCTAAACCCTAAACGCAGGGCTTGCGGGGTACAAGTTGCGGGGGTTTTGGGGGTTTATGTGTTCGGTTTTGGGGATTTAGAGGTCTTGAAGCTTTTGGAACTTAGGGATTACATTGGGTACTGCCCCGACTCAGTAAGAGTTGCGTAATATATTTATACTATTTATACGATGGGTTTATAAGGCTGTTACTGTATGGGGGCAGTACCCAAGGATTACATAAGGTTTCAGAGATTTCGTGGACCGATGGGTTCAGGAGGTTCGGAGGCTCCCCAGGGTTTTGGGGGTAAATGAGGTCCTTTGGTTGATCTCTCGCGAGCAGCAGCAAGGGGTCGTTTAGGAGTTTTTTCTTGTTTTGTGTGTTTTTGTTTTTGCGAAACGGTTGTCTATTTAAGAGTTTGTTAAGTACTGATAAGCCTTTTGAGGCTTCTGGTACTGTCGTAGTCGTAGTAAACCTGTCAGAATCTTTGAGGTGCATGTTTTGGGCATGTCATCGTGTTGCTTTTCGAAGACTTTTGTATTTGTTGGTTTTGCCATGGATGATCTGGCACCATGGATCCCGCTCTTCGCATTTCCCTCTTCAGGACGCTCTTGCCAAACGAGTGGTTGCAGTAGTAGTAGTCGTCGTCGTAGTAGTAGTAGTAGTAGTAGCAGTAGTAGTAGTAGTAGTAGTAGTAGTAGTAGCAGCAGCAGCAGCAGCAGCAGCAGCAGGAGTACTAGCAGTAGCACTTTAGTGGTAGTGCTAGTCGTGGTAAGACTCTTGATCCTTGCGAATACTGCAAAAAGGGAGCTACAGGCCCGGGCGCATGAAAGCTCCCGTGCTTAGGTCTTATACCCCGGAAGCCTCCCTTTCGATCCTCTTCGTTAACCCGAGAAGACTCTCCTGCTTGTTCTGCTGCGGACACGAGTCCCAAAACCCTAAACACTTTAACTCGAAACACCCAAACGGAAAACCCCAAGCCTGCAAACAAAATCCAAAACCCAAAGCCCTGAGCCCTAACACCCTAGCTGGATGAGCCGTGAGGTGCAGGAGGCCACGAGCCGAGCCTCTGCCATGGAGGCCTCCGTCCAGCGCGAGACCGAGGTGAATGCCGCTTTGGAGGACAGAGAGCACTGGCCTTCCAGGGTTTAGAGGGACTTTGTAGGGATTTTTGGTGTTTTTTGGTTTTTAAAGGGTCTTTGAGGCTCGTTCTTTAAGGATTCCAAAAAGGGGTCTACAAAACTAGCCTGCGCAATCAGAAAAAGGTTTGGGGCCCATGATCCAAAACCTTAGCCCCAAACCCCAACTCGTAGAGTCTCAAGAAGAAATAGATGCTAAATGCCGGCTACGACTCCTTTGTTTGAGAAGGGCTATAGGAGGTGAGTTCCATGGTAATTAGTTTAAAAGAGGGGGCCCGAAGGACACTCCTGTTGGGGATTTGTTCATGTTGGTTTAATACTTTCTTGTAGGGGATCGTGTCAGCTGTTGAATGTTCATTGGGGCCACGGCGCTTTTGCATTCGGGCTTCCATGTCCGAAAACCCTAAACCCTAATCCCTAAACCCTAAACCTTTCAATCCCCAAATGCTAGCGACAGGAGCAGTGCGCCGCAGCCTGCACGGAGTGGGGACGCTCCAAGGAGGCGGTCTCTGCAGCCAGGCGCAGCCTAGAATGGAGGAGGCTTCGGTTTAGGGTTCCGGGTCTTAGGGTTTAGGGATGGAGCTTTTTGGGGCAGGGAGGGAAGGGCAGTGTTGTTTGTGGCTTTTCAGGAAGCCGCCCATGCAAGGAAGCGTCTCGGAACCCCTCCGGCTCCCTGTACGAATGCATATGGGTAGTTCTCAAAATAAGGGTCCCTTTCTAGGTCCCCAAAATAGTACGGCACCCTTATAACGAGGACCCCATAAGGGGCCCGAATTTAGAGAACTGCCCGTATCATCTACACCAGATCGCGAAGTGCCGGACTTGAGCGCTTCCAAATTCTGGGAGATTAGGGGTTTGGTTTAGGGTTTAGGATTTGAGGGATGGACCTTGAAAGTGGACTTTCAGTGGCATGTCGTCGATAACTTAGGGAATCGCTGGGTGATTGCTTGCAATGTGGTACCTCATGTGCCCTAAATCCAAACTTAATGCAGCTCTTTTTCGGGGTTTAGGGTGAACATGTCTAAGGGGGTTAAACGGCTTCATAAGGGCTCCTCGGCCCTAAACCCCAAACCCTAAACCGTAAACTCTGCCAGGGAGGGCGGTTGGGGTTCAGGGTTTGGGGCTTAGGATACCCAGGGACTCGACGAGAAGGCTTGGGGCCAATGGAACAGCGTGGAAATCAAGAACAAGCGCTTGCCCGGAGTGCAGCTGTGTTTCAGCTCCTTGGTCGGTGGTTCCTTATGATACTCGCAGCATAATATGCCCCCAAGCCCAATTCTAATCATTAAGGCCCCTACACTACACCTCAAGCCCGAAAGACCTAGGCCTGAACCTTGACCTAACCATCCTTGGCGTCTGCAAATAGCTGCAGGGGGGTTCGGGCGCCATGGGAGACGCAGCACGTGGCGTCCTTCTCTTCGCGTCACTTCTGTCCGTCCTGTTAGGCTTGAGGTCCGTTTTGAAGGCTCGTCTCGCGCAGCACGAGCCGCCGCCTTCGGATCGGTTGGAAGACGAGAAGCCAACCCTTCGGAGACCGACAAAGCGCGTGGCGAGGCCATTGGTGAGCCCACAAAGGTTGAACAAATCAAAAGTGTGGTCGACGTTGTGCGGAGGGCATCCGTGTTTGGTATTGAGGCACATGAGCAAGACGGGTGGTACATTCGCCCAGGCCTTATTGGAGCAAGTGGTAGATAAACCCTTCCTTCGCATCATCCGTGACACAGACGCGCTGACGCCCAAGTTGCGCAGTGGGAACTTCGTCTTGGGGACGATGCGAAACCCCTGCGACTTGCAGGTAAGCTTAGCTCACTTCGCGCCTTCGAAAGCCTTCATGGGTGAGTGGCGGACCATGGGCCCGCCCATACGACCGAAGAAGGAGCAATGCGATCGGGGCCTGGAGAGCGGAATCTTCGAGAGCTGGGTCTTGAACTCCCGTCGCAAGACGAAGGCTGGGCCGGTGGGCATTCAGAGTGTGCGATTCTGGCTCATGTATTTGGCATCGCACAAGTGCCTGCCAATTGTCCGAGAATATGCAGCTAAAGGCCCAAAGAACAGAGAGAGCACCCGGTGGCAGTACTCACGAGCGAGCAGGGAAGCAAACTGCACAGAAGCGCACCTGCATTCGAGCTTGAAGTCTTTTCGGCCGACCGAGGTTGCAGACTGCTGGATGTTCACCGAAACCTATTGGGAAGATCTAGAGCGGTGTCTGCGGGACTACGGCAGCCTCTCTGAAATACTGGCATCTTCCATTTCCTGGGAAAGGTTCTATGCGATTCGTGCGAACACTTCCTTGGCTCTCAGTCTGGACGACCGCCATTCTCCGGAGAGGAAGTCTCGTCAAACAGGCTGCAGTGCGTACTTTCAGAAGGAAGATTTCCGAAAGCTGGAGATGGATGCAGATGTGCACCTCTTCTCGCGCTTTGGATACCAATGCTGCGGCGCAAGGCAGCCGCGAAACCACCGCTGAGCGCAGCAACAACAGACTCGCGAACATCTTTGTGAAGAAGGGCACTGTAGAGAAGGTAACATATGGTTCTCCGTTTGACAGCCCAGGCTCTGCGCGGCTGTGCTCAGCTTGAATTCAACTTTTTGTCTTACGGGCGTGCTGAAGTGCATGCTTACCGCCTACTCGTTGCAGCCGATGGGGGCTGACAGCCCACCCTGAGAAGCTAAAAAAGGCGAGATACAAGGTGTTTAGGGTTTAGGGTTTAGGTTAAGCTGCAGGTCCCGCCTTGATTCATTCCCGGGCTCGGCCCTGATCCGTGGAGCTGCTGTAGCGTAGGGGCCCTGAACTGCCGGAGCAACTTTCCGATCTTATTCCGTGGGGGTTCCTTATTGTAGTTATATAGTACTCGTATGATATACACCCTAAACACTAACCTTGAAGCCTAAACCCTAAACGCTAAGTCTTATCGTCATCATAGCATACTGCAGCCTGCGCATACTATAATTATGATACTATAGTACGTCATAGTTACAGTATGCTATAGCCTGGTTTCAAGGATGTAGGGATTGACTGTAGACTTGACTTCAACAGCTTCCTGGAGCGCTTGAACCGCAGGGAGCTCAGATCATACGGGGTTTGGAGGATTTAGTAGCAGCAGTAATAGTAGTAGTA